TGAGGCGGGGAAGCACGTGATAGTGCTGGCCACCACTGTGGAGGTGAGGGCGGGGGGGGGGCTATGCAATCAAGTTGGCCGTACAGAGGGTGGGCAAGAGAGAAAGAGAGAGAGAGAGAGAGAGTGTGTGTGTGTGTGTGTGTGTACGTGTGTGTGTGTGTGTGTGTGTGTGTGCATGCGCGCATGGTTGCGAGTGTGCGCCTCCTGGTGTGTGGGTGCGCGTCTCGCGTTGCTTCATATGTGTGCACAAGAGCAGGGGGTGTGCCGGGGCATGTGGGGGCCCTTTTATGGCCCTTGGGCGGGAAAGTTTGAGGGCAGCTCGGGCTGCGGCAGCCGCCAGGGCGCTGCACGAGGGCACAGGCTTCGTGCGGCGCATGCGCAACGGGGGCGCCAACCGCCGAGTGCTGCGCCCCCTCCCCAAAACAAATCGACTCAACCCCGCACCCTTTGCCAGATCGTGCTGTTGGGCGTCTGCATCGGCCCCTCCAAGGCGGGCGGCGCGGCGGCAGACCCCTATGATAACCTGTCCCTGCAGGTCCGCCTGCCGCCAAAGGGGGTGTTTTGGGTTGCGGCAAAGACGCCACAGCGTGCAACCGCGTTCACTGGCAGCACCTCAGAGTGGGGCGCATTGCCTCTCCCCTGCGCATGCATCTGCCTTCTTTGCGATCCCACCCGTGCAGCTGTTGCAAGCAGCAGCACGCGCTGCCCCACAGCGCCCCGCAACGCCGACGTCGCCATGCCACTCGCAGCGTCCTGCCCCCTGCCATCCCCTTTGCCGCAGGCCATGCCGCTGTACTGCGTCCCGAGTGACAACGTGGTCATGACGTGCGCCGCCGCGTCACCCACCACGGGCCGGTGAGGCACGCGCTGTCGGGCGCCCCCACCACGCCCCTTGCCATCCATCCAGGACCGGCAGTGCTCACCCGCCGGCTTTGCTTTGCAGGAGCCGTCGGCACTAGCTCACGCACTTGCTGGCTGCGCACTCCCGCTATAGATACTGCATTCCTGCACACATCCCTCCCCCTGTGCAGCTGGGGCGCCCCTCCCCCTGACCCCTCTTGCTGCCCGTCCCTCGCATGCCGCCTCCCCCCGCCGCTTTGCAACGCGCAACCCTCGCCAGCCACGTGCCTGCCGACAGCACCTCGCGGTTCCTGAGCGGCCTCGCTCCTCGCTCGATGCGTGTCCTGCCGCATCGCCGCACTCATGCGCCCGTGCACACCGCGGGCTCCACCCGCGTGGTCATCTCAGCAGCGCTCTCTCATTTCTCACGTTTCATTATGCGCGCAGCATATTCCTGGGGGGTGCTGATGGCAATCTATACGAGCTCACCTACGCCGCAACCGACAGCTGGAGGCAGAAGCGCTGCGCCAAGGTGCGCGCTTGCGTGTGGGCTCGCGGTTGTGCTCATGCACAGGCACATTTGTGTGGGCACGCGCGCGTGTGTGTGTGTGTGTGTGTATGTGCGCGCGCGCGCGAGTGCAAGTGCCTGCTGCACCTCCTGCATGTTTAATTCAGGAAGGGGGCGCGTTGTCCGAGGATGAGGAGTGGTGCAAGCCGCCGGCGCGCCGGCACCGCTCACGCCTCTCCCCCCCCCCCCTTCGTCACCGCGCAGGTCCGCGTCACCGGCGGCCTTCAGCAGCTGCTGCCCAGCTTCCTGCCGTCCCTGCTGTTCCGCGCCCCTGAGGCCCTGGAGCGGCTGGCCTGGGACGACGAGCGGAACGTGATCTACACCCTGGGGGCCAACAGCAGCATACAGGTGGGATGTGATGCGTGTGATATGTGTGTGACACCAGTATACAGGTGTGACGTGATGGGGGTGTCCTAACAGCGCCCAGGTGCGGCGTGACGCGTATGGTGCAGCAAACGTATAGGGCGCACAGGCTCGGATGGGGTATCCGCTCGCCGAGGAGTACAATGGGAAATGTATGGGAAATGTTGGGGCCGTGTGCGTTTGCAGCCCGCGCAGTCTCGGCCGCGCTGCTGCGTAGCGCGCTTGCCTGCTCGCCGGCCACGCAGCGGTGCCCGGAACGGTATTAGGGGCGCCGCGGGGCGTTGCTGCGCAGCGCCTCGGGCGGCTCGCCGCAGCGGCCCCTCGCTAAGCTGCACAGCACCGCCCGCACGCACAGCACTTGGGGCAAACCGGCCCCCTACCCCCCCCCCCAACCCCCAGGTGTTTGACCTGGGCACGGCCGGCACCGACCCGGCCCGCAAGGTGGCGGAGGTGAGGCCGCCCCCGCAGCATCCCGCGTTCGACGCGGCGCGCGCGCACGCCCGCGCGCACGCACGCACACAGCAACCAGGCTCGTACAGGCGCTGGCTCGCGCACGCGCGCGCGGTCGGTGCATGGGGTACAGTCCCCCGCTCTGTGTGCGTCAGTCGCAGTCGGCAATCCTGGTGGCCTCCGATCCTGCTGCAGTCCCTTGTCAATTCTCCTTTTACATGCACACGTACGTGTACGCATGCATGCAAGCACACACACGCGCGCGCACACACACACAACACACACAACACACGCACACGCACACACACGCACGCACGCACGCACACACATCACACAGCTCCCCACGCCCACACCCAAACATCAACCCCCCCCCCCAAACACCCCCAGGTGACTGATTTCCTTGAGGCGGCCTGCCGCGCAGCGCAGGGCGGGCAGCCCGTGTTCCGCCTGGGCGGCGACAAGCGCGGCACCGCCGTCAAGTACATAGCGCCCATACGTGAGAGGCCCGCGGCACTGCCGCGCGACCGGACGGCTGTGCCGTCTTCCTCGGGCTGGGAAGTTCCTACGATGGTCTGCGTTTTGCGCGTCCGGAAGACCATCGCCCGCGCCCTTCCCTTCCGCCCGCCCATGCACGGCCCGCCGCCAACTGGCCCTGCGACGACCCTGTGATGTCCCCTTCCCCTCCACCCCTGCCCCAATGCGCTTGCCCACGTCCCCCCCTTCAACCCCGATG